TCACATTACAGATGAGATCATAGCCCTAAACACTAATACAGAGAGGACAGATTACACTAAGCCAAACATATTTCACACACTATGAACACTCGCTGGTTTCAAATACGAACTGACGCATCAAGTCAACATTAAAGACGCACTTACTGAGTGCAATCAAACACCCTATTTCCTACTTTTGAATTATTTCACACAGGTTGATATTTGTGGTGCAATATCAAAAATTCCAAAACAGCATTTTATTCACAAGTATCTAATTATATGACTGAACTTGAATGCATCGTAGAGTGGTGCATTGATGACGCATTTCTGTAGGCCAACCTGGAAGTTAGCATCGCAAGGGCTCCCTCGACAAGCAGCCAATTGGATTCTCCCTTGAAGTTTAAAATGTTGCAGAAAATAAGCTCTGTGGCAAACAGACATTTATGATACGTACATGTTTTGTTCAGCAGGATAATCTTCCCACAGAAATACCTGTTTTATTTTTAAGCATAAATGCAATTGCAAGAAGTAAAAAGCTAGCGTCAAGTTATAAATAAACTACATCACGGTCACATGACTTCATGTCAACACCGCTAAGCTAAAGGCAACAAATGATCAGCTTGATGATGGTTAGTAGTCTAATTTAGTGAATTGTTAGCAAACGCTGTTTTTAAGATATGTAAAAGCTTTGTACATTCACCAGTGGGATACTTACCGATGTATTTTATTTTATAGAATACAACATGAAAATATCTTAAGCTTGTCTTAGCTACAGAACTTATTTCAGTCATCTAACCTAAAACGAATTCAAGAAACCGTTGACCTTGAGACGAGGGACCCGGAAGTGCAAAACTGATAATTCATTTTCGTGTTTAGTTCAAATTTAGCAACACTCTATATGCTACTTTGTATTTTTTCCCTGACACATAAAGAACTATTTAAAAATATTAATTTGGGTTCAAGGTTCAAGGTTCTTTATTTGTCATACGAACATAGCTACAGAGTAGTTATGTCGATGAAAATCTTAGGTCACAGGCTTCTCCAACAGTGCAACACAATAACACAGAAAAACAGTAAAATATAGTGCAAGTAAATATTAAAAAGTAAATACAAAAAGAAAAATATTTTGAAAAAAGTGAAATAGTGAAATAAGAGTCTATATGCAAGCTATTGGAATGATATATTAGATAAATAGATAATGAATTACTAAGTAGCAGATGAATGTTATGAAATTGTTTCAGCAGTTCAGTTGTTTAACAGTCTTATTGCCTGTGGGATAAAACTGTCTCTGAATCTGGTGGTTTAAGTCCGGATGCTGCGGTAGCGCCTGCCAGACGGCAGCAGACTGAACAGTTTGTGGCTGGGGTGATGGGGGGTCTTTTATAATCCTAAGGGATTTCTTCCTGAGCCGCTGGGAGTAGATGGATGGCAGCCCCGTCCTGGTGATGTTCTGTGCAGTTTCCACCACCCTCTGTAAAGCCTTGCGATTGAGGGCGGTGCAGCTACCGTACCAGGCCGTGATGCAGCCAGTCAGGATACTCTCTATAGTGCACCTGTAGAAGTGGCAGAGTATCCTGGAGTCCATGTTGAACCTCCTCAGCCTGCGGAGGAAGAAGAGCCGCTGTGGAGTTTTTTTGGTGATGGTGTGAAGAGTCCATGTCAGGTCCTCAGTGATGTGGACCCCGAGGAACCTGAAGCTGCTGACTCTCTCCACCGTAGTCCCATTGATGGCAATGGGGGCGTGTCCCTCTCTCTGCTGCTTCCTGTAATCCACAATCAGCTCCTTTGTTTTGCTGACGTTGAGATGGAGGTTGTTATCCTGGCACCAAGATGTCAGGTTTTCGACCTCCTCTCTGTACGCCGTCTCGTCGCCGTCTGTGATCTGGCCGATGGCGGTCGTGTCGTCAGCAAACTTCACGATGGTGTTGGAGCTGTGTGTGGCCACGCAGTCGTGAGTGAACAGGGAGTAGAGGAGAGGGCTGAGCACGCAGCCTTGAGGGGCTCCGGTGTTGAGGATCAGGGTGGAGGATGTGATGTTTCCCACCCGCACTGCCTGGGGTCTGCCCGTCAGGAAGTTCAGGATCCAGTCACAGAGGGCGCTGTTGAGCCCGAGGTCTCTGAGCTTGATGACCAGCTTGGAGGGCACAATGCTATTGAAGGCTGAACTGTAATCAATGAACAGCATTCTCACATACAGTATGTGTTCCTGTGGTCCAGGTGTGAGAGGGCAGTGTGGATGGTGAGGGCTATGGTGTCGTCTGTGGACCTCTTTGCTCTGTAGGCAAACTGCAGGGGGTCCAGAGAGTCAGGGAGGGAGGAGGTGATGAAGTTTTGACTAACCGCTCAAAGCACTTCATTATGATGGAGGTGAGTGCTACTGGGCGGTAGTCATTGAGGCTGGTGATTATTGTCTTTTTGGGGACAGGAACGATGGTGGAGTGTTTGAAGCATGTGGGGACTACAGACTACAGCAGGGACCTGTTGAAGATGTCTGTGACTGAACACCTCTGCCAGCTGAACTGCACACACCCTGAGAACACGGCCAGAGATGCCATCAGGTCCAGGAGCCTTGTGTGGGCATCCACACAAGGCTCCACGTGGGTTGTGTACAATATTTTTAACAATATGAGCTCTTTTGTTAGCTTAGTAGTAAAGGGTTGAGTCTGAAGGACACACAGCCCATATCGCCACTTTACAGATGAGCTCATGGCCCAAAGTAAGGGACCACTTGGCTGAAGTATGCATGTCACCAGCACAATAAAGAAGGTCTGGTGCTTCCCTAAGTGTATCCGTAAAGCAGAAGGACTCCCAGGAAAGTGAGCGTTGATATCAAATCACTTTAAAATGTAATAAGAGTGCATTTACTCAAGTATTTTACTATTTTAAGGTACTCTATTCTTCTAAGCAACTGCAGTTTGGAAGTCAGTATTATTCTTTTTTCTCCACTACGTTAATTATACTATTTTTATTTTGATATTCAGAATATTAGCTAGTACAAAAAATAAATCAAATAAATACAAATTAATAAACATTGACATATATAGGCTAAGAAAAATTCAGCAGCATTATGCAAAATGAAATAAAATTAGATAGACACATTAATGCAGCATAATCCAGTCATTTAAAATATGATTTGGTACCTTAATATATTTGATGCACGTACTCTAATGTAGGTAAGGTTTTTAATGCAGGACTTTTATTTGTAACATACCATTTGAACAATTGTGTTCTCTTAAGTCTGAAACCTGAATACTTCTTTCTCCACTGGTTTAGTGATGTGTTTATATGTTTAAGATATCTCCTTAAATTTACCTGCATCATGGTTACAACAGACGTCGAGTGTTCTTTCACACATAGCTGCATTTTTACGACATATTTAAATATATTATTATGTATTTTTTAAATACTTTTCACTGGGCGTTTAACTTCGGTTATGTATCTGCTTGCTGAAGGGTTTTCCTCCAAGCATGTGCGAACGAGCAGCGAGCCAGATGACACAAAGCCCCAAAATAGAGTAAAGTCCTCTTTCCAAGTGCTCTCTAAACATAGTGTGACCTTTTCAGGACGACATAGCGTTACGTTTCCATGATATAAACAAGTAGGGAAAACGAGCGTGTTTAAAGAGTTAGCGTCAATGTAGACATACTTTACAGAGGTTACAAATGCCACAACAAATAGCAACATTTCCGAACGGCAGGTTAAAAAGCAGCCGGTAACACTCTGTTCAAAGACGAAGAGGATATTTTCTTACCTAGTTTAAGGTTTCTGCACCACTTTCCTTAAAGTTCATAACTGGCTAAGAAGAATTGGACTTTCCCTGCTGAGGGGAACCCAAACTCCGTCCTGCAGGAGGCTGGACCGCAACAAGTGGCACTGCGCGCTCACGAGGGGTGTGCACGACGGGGCCGCGAGGGTGCAGCTGATTGGCTCAATTTCCCAAAAGCAGAGCAACGTCATCACAACTGCACCTAATTAACCTCAGAACCCCTCTCTGATTGGCTGGCACCTTTCTCTAAAATATATGTTATTTTCTTTGATTATTATTATTATTATTATTATTATTATTATTATTATGTATTTGTGTTCTTTAGTGTTCAAAAGCCTTTCTCAAAAGCTGCATTTTTTGTCCACAGTTTTAGGCCTAAACGTAACTCATATGTTTTTGTTTAATCCTCACTTGGAATACTACCATTAAGTAAGTCTAAATAAGGAAAAAAAGAAAAAAAGAAAGGAACAAAGAAAGAAAGAAAGAAACACACCAAAGAAAAGAAGAAATTGAACTTGAACATGGTACCTTTGTGACATTTTGTATTGATACAAGAGCGGCCTCGTCTGGATGTAAGTAGGAACTACAACTCTTTACAAAGACTGAAATGAGTGCTCATGAATGACCCACTATATGTCAAAAAGTCACTAAAACTTACAAAAATGTGTCCTTTATTTTATTTAACATTTTATTGATTAATAGCAACTTGCTAAGACCTTTTGCTACTCAATTAAATGTAACGCATGTCAATAATAGACAGAGGAGTTTTAGGGCAAGGCATAAGGTAAAACATTTTTTTTCAAAATGTAAATTGTGAAATCGAAAAGACTTTTCGACTTTACTTACTTACTGTTAGTGATTTGAATTATTGGGAAAAAAATCTTAAGATTTCAACAAGATACGATTTTGAATGTATTCTCATTCTGAAAGCTTGATTGCTATTCCCTGCACTACATTTGCTATCATTAATGTGAACATATATTAATACATTCCCCCCTCCCAGATGTCCGACCCTGATACACTCCAGTAACATGGTCACTAAGAAGCATAATTCCATAGAAAAATATATCTATTACAATTATTATGTTTGCATGACACTGAGGTCATTGTTATATAATGTTTACCAATGCTGACTTACTGATATGGGTGTAAGTGTGTGTGTGTGTGTGTGTGTGTGTGTGTGTGTGTGTGTGTGTGTGTGTGTGTGTGTGTGTGTGTGTGTGTGTGTGTGTGTGTGTGTGTACCATCCACTCACTCTGCAACTGGGCTGTTATCTTCTAGCGGGCTCTCAGGCCACTCAGGCGGGGGGAGGGTCATGGAGTCAGGCAGCTCTGATGGAAATTCGTCGCTGAAAGTCTCCTGATGGAACATGTCTTCCTGCTCCTGTCGGAGAGAAGCTGCTACCTGCTGACTGGCTGCCTCCACCTCCAGCTGCTCCTCCAGGTCTGCAAAGCAAGAGATGGCTGACCTTAAAAGCAAGACTATTCACTTGTATTTGTTTAACACAGATCAACTGGTGAAACTGTAATAGAAGATGTATGGTGCTATATGAAGTGACTTTCTAACCATTGTAAACTTCTAAGATGGCAGAGCAGGAGACCGTGCCGAAGGGGTTGATGACGACACATTTGAAAATGCCCGAGTCTTCTGGAAAGGCTTCTGTGATCACCAGTGTGCACAGCTCCTCTGTGGAGGGGAACAACAGAACAGTACACATGTTTTCATTCAATAAAGTCTTTAACTTTCGTTTCCAGACAGGATTAAAACTGAACTTTCTTTATGAACATTGTATATAGATAACATCTCATTCCTTTAAGCATTGTTCGGGTAGCTGTCATTGTCACTGTAAATCACCCAGTCAACCTGTAAAAGACACTCACTTCTGTAACGTTATGATGTCATAAAAAAGTTTAAAAAACGAAATAAAACGATAATTAAAAAAAAGCTAAATACAATATAATGTCACATTTCTTAAAATGTTAAATGTATTTGACCTGGCTTCCTGGACAGAGTTAAAGCCTTTCATCCAAATAAGCCGGTTTCATCAAGGGAGTGTTATTTAAAAGGTTATTGGGGTACCGGAAAGGTGAAAGTATTACAAAAACAACTTCAGTTGAAAGAAATTATAGCAAGGTCAGAATAAACAATATATGTTTTATAAAAGTCTTTTTTGTATATTCTGCACTTACCTGGCACTGATGCAGAGCTGGCCTCTGGGAAAACAAGGAGAAAGAAAAGTCAATTGTTTTTTAGTCAGGTCAGACAATATTTACATTCAAGAGAAATAGGAAACTTCTGCAAATCAGACTCAGTACCAGTCATTCGAATGCAAAACCTACTCTGCTCAAATCAGACTTGAGCAATTACAAAGGCCCTGAGAGGAGAGTAAGAAAATAAAACTCTTGTTATCCATTATATTTTGATAGGTGATTGTTGTTGTAATAACTATTTGAGCCACAAGAGGGGGAAGTGCACCACTACCCCATAAGATAAGATAAGATATACTTTATTGATCCCAAATTGGGAAATGTTTTCATTGCAGCGGCAGCAGCATGTCAAACAAAGTATTGCACATAATTTGAAATTAAAAAGAGTAGTATAATAATAATAATAATAATAATAATAATATGTTTAAATGTAAAATAAACAATTATACAATATAAACAGTATACAAATAAATAGAAAAATAAAATAGAACTAAAAAAGTACAAAATATACAAGTTGACCGTGAAGATAAGAATCTGTAACTTTCTGGCCAAATTAAAGATAACACAATATTACATGTTCTTAATAATATAATCATGTGTCCATTTAACAAAAAGTGTATATTTTTGCTTGATTGTTTTGATTTGGTAAGTGTAAAGTCCAATGTTTCTCCAGGTCATAAGACCCCATCCCACTGCCAAGCACACACTCACTCTTGCGTAGTATCCTGAAATCATCCGAGTCCAGTACTTGCTCGTCCTCTCTGTACCACATGACCTGCAGGGGGGGGGTTCCCCTCAGTCTGCACTCCAGGACCACCAGCTGCCCGTTCACTGTGGACACATCATGGAGGCCCTGCAGAGTGAAGGGGGGTGGAGGCAGAGGAGGAGAAATGGAAAGAGGACATAAAAGAGAAGGTCCTTGAAGATGAAATCAGTAAACTTTTATTTAAGACAAGTGTATCAGACCACCCATTGTATGAACATACAACATTTCACCTAAAAGAGACACATATATCAACCAGGAGGAGACTCAAAAAACAAATATACATAAACGACTACAAAGGGACACAAAAAGAGACACAAAAATAATCAAAAAACTACTTCAAAGTGATGTAAAACGGGTACAAAGAGACACCAAATGAACAGAAAGAAACACAAAAAACTACAAAGAGACATACAGATACTTAAAACAATATCTACATTTCATCCACATTGACAAAATACATCACTAAAAAGCATGTATACACAAAAACTCAACATAATAATATATTACTGTGAAAAAATCCGTTCGGTATAACAAGTACTTTTACTTTCGATACTTGAAGTACGTTTAGCTGATAATTTGGGAAGTAATCACGGATAGAGAAAGAGTGACTACAATAGGTGGTAAAAAAACGCAACTACAAAAGAACAAAGCAATTGAATAAAACAAAAAACTACAAGGACACACAAAATGACTACCAAGAAACATGAAACAATTACAAAAAGACAATGTCTACCAAGAAGCATAAAACAATTACAAAAAGAAACAAATGACTACAAAGAAGCATGAAACAATTACAAAAAGAAATAAATGAAAGAAGCATGAAACAATTACAAAAATAAACAAATGACCACAAAGAAGCATGAAACAATTACAAAAAGAAACAAATGACTACAAAGAAGCATGAAACAATTACAAAAATAAATAAATGAAAGAAGCATGTAACAATTACAAAAAGAAACAAATGACTACAAAGAAGCATGAAACAATTACAAAAATAAATAAATGAAAGAAGCATGAAACAATTACAAAAAGAAACAAATGACT